ATTCTGTGTGATTTAATTTAAATTATTTTTATTTATGCGTATTTTCGTTTAAGTAATCAAACTTAAATACTTCTAAAATTTTATTTAATCCTTCCATTTTTAAAATAACTTTTTCCGCGGAATTTTAAATTTAATATTTTTTATGTAATTTATCCCCATCCAACTGTATGATTCATTATCAAACGTCCTGTGCCCACTCTGTATTAAATACATAAAAATATTGAAAATACATTAACCAAATATTTTTATTTAAATTTTAGTAAAATTCATTTTATTTACCTACATATAATTCAAATATTAATGAAGTAAAAATAAATAGTACTAGATATACCTATTTATAAGTATCTGAATATATTTATTTATACAATAATTCCAGAAAATACTAATTTAATAAAGCTGTCTTTGAAGATATACTTAATCTTTCCGAAATGGTTTATTTAACTAAGAGAGCATGTTTCCAAAATTTTAAAATCTTTCCGGAATATTTCTGATTATTATTTTTTAATCAAATAGTTTCCGGTCATTTAGAATGTTTCCGGAATTCTTGGAATTTGTATAGTATTTGTTTCCGGATTATTTAAATATTTCCGGTATTCTATAACGTAAATTAAACGTTTCTGGGATTTTTCCGGAATATTAGATTTTTTAGAATGGTTCCGGAAAACTACTTGAATGCTTTTTGAATATTCCCGTAATATTAAAAAACTTCCGGAATGTTCCCATAATTTTATTTTTGAAGGTGTTAGGGTTTTTGAAAATGTTTTCAGAATTTTAGAATGATTCCAGATTGCTTCCGGAGTTTTTAATGTTACATGTTTCCATAATTCCGGAAAATATTATTATTTTTAGTTCAGTAATGTTATATTTATTGTATATTATATTTATTATTCTTTCAATTTTGAAATTTAATTATTCAAAAGCATATGATAAAAAATATTATTGTCCTAAGGATGGTATTAATTTATTAATAATTCAAAAATTAACTAAAAAAATAATTTTTTTAAATTAGAAAATGAAAGAACAATTAGATACGATTGGCATAAACATGAACAAATACAAGTTGATTTCTAATATAATTAAATTTTTAAAACTATTTTTATCAAGTTTAGACATATTGTGATGTATTTTTGGACTGTAAACGTGTTTTTAATAATGATATAGAATATGTTAAAGATAAAGCAAAAAATAGATTAATTTATAAAGATGTAGATATACCGATGAATTGTGAAGATATTTATTCCCGTAATTATTTTTTGAAATTTCCGTTATCAGAGGCTGAACGTCAATTTCCTATTGCTTATGCTAAAGTTGTTTATAAAGTTGGTAAAATTATATTACGCACCTCCCACAACTTACTCTCCCCCCCCCCCCCCCCCCATTTTATTCAAAAAATTATTAAAATGGTAAGAATTCGCCTCCTTCTAGTCTAAAAGGGCGAGATCTTCGTTCTATTCTCAAGTATATCGGACTATAGTTTCTAAATCCAGAGCTACTACTTATCGGATAAAGTTTGCAACACATTTTAGGTTGATTATTTTTATAGCTTAATTTAAAAACCTTAAGGATTATCGGTTTTTGGAGGCAGAATTGGCTACTAATTACCATCCACAAAATTGGTATTGTTTTGCTGTTGATGCAAAAACAGATGATATTTTTTATAAAAATATTTTGTCGTTAACTGGGTGCTTCGAAAATATTATTGTTCCGAAGGAAAGATATCCTGTGGATAGAGATGGTTTGATAATTTTTCAAAAAAAATTTCAAGAAATTTAAAAAAAAATTTTTTTCAAGGCCACGGTATGGGAAAGGCCCATCTATCCTGTTTCAAAGAATTAGTTAAAAAAGAAAGAAAATGGGAATATTTAGTAACACTACAGAATCACGACATTCAAATAAAAACTAACGAGGAAATGGTTCAAATATTTAAATGGCTTGATGGGGCTTGTGATGTTGAGTTCAATGTAATTGGTAAAGCTCAACTCAAACGAAAAGCTCATCTTCTAAATGTATCAGATTGGACTATTGAATCACTACATATTTTTAAAAACCGTTGGTTTTTGACTATTTTTATTCTTGATATTTTTGGATCCTAGTTTGTCCACCCAATTTCAAAATTTCTGAACATTCTTGTCTCGATGAATCAAAGAAAAGTATTTATGACTTAACATATAGCTTAACAAATTAAAGATGGATTAGTTGATAAGGGTGATTAGTTATATCTGATTGTCTCTCGACCCTTCTCTGAAGTGATATAGACGTTTTAGCTGTTCTTATCGATAATTACACTAAATTATTTCTCAATATATAATTTTTATATAGAATCACTAAACAAACGCTTAAATGACAAAGGACTTCCACTCAAAATGAACCTTGCTAAAGGCCATGTTCATGCTAGTCTGGCACGACCTTTTGTTGATTTTATAGTTAATGAACTCGATCTAACCAAATTGCTTGATCATATGGACAGCTGGTCGCAAAAAATAATTTAATTATACAAGTTAATATCTAAGAATAAATTTAAGTCCCTATGGGTGTGATGAGTTATTCCTTCAAACACTTTTGATTTCGGACGATTTACGAGCACCTAATGCTTTTACACATAAATGCATCGATAGAGAAGTTTGGAATCAATCTAGGTTTTATGCGACTAGGTAAATTCAAATTTAGTTTTTATTAAATTTTACAAGAGAACCTCACAAACGGGAATGAGAAATTTTTGGATAAATGGCTTTTTTGCTTCACAACCACTCCAAGAATAAAATTTACGACCTCGTATCTAGTAAATTTCGTCTCCATATCCATAAAGCCAAAAAAAGGCAATAGGATATCTTCCATTAAGAATTTTTGGTCAAAGTTAACCAGATTCCATTGTTGCCTAGAATCTCATTAAATACCGAATAACCTCTATAAATTACCCTCTCTAAAAATTACCTCAAGCCAATTCGTTATCCCCTTCTGGGATATATCGAAACATTAAGTAAAATTCAAGTACTTATTGAAGCAAATATGTCGATAAATATACCACTAAATATTTACTTACTGTAAAGGTATACTATTTGGTTACACGAATACGATTTCGCAAATTGTAATAGTAAAATTTGGCGTCATGGTTTATGTATTTTTGGAATAGAAGACTTGGTTCTGATTTTTCTTTCGAAAATTTAAAATTTAAAATTTATTTAATTATAGGTTCTAAATTTGAACAATTCAAAATATTTATTTGTCAATAAAATGATGCCAGAATTCGATTTTGGAGCCATTCTTTGTTGGCATGAAGAAATGAGGAGGAGGACTTTAATAGATAAAGGATTACACAGATTAAATGCTTCATTATACCAAAATTGGCCACAAACTCGTTTCCATAAAGAATGGGTAAGAACTAATGGAAATGTTGATTTGGATAATTTTAATTGTACTAATTAATAATTAAAATTAAAAAAATTATCTATTGAATCTATTGAATTTCTTATTATCTATTGAATTCTGTGTAATTTAATTTAAATTATTTTTATTTATGCTTATTTTCGTATTAAGTTAAGTAATCAAACTTAAATACTTCTATAATTTTATTTAATCCTTTCATTTTAAAATAACTTTTTCCGCGGAATTCTAAATTTAATGTTTTTTATGTAATTTATCCCCATCCAACTGTATGATTCATTATCAAACGTCCTGTGCCCACTCTGTATTAAATACATAAAAATATTTTGAAAATACATTAACCAAATATTTTTTTTAATTTAAGTAAAATTCATTTTATTTACCTATAACTCAAATATTAATGAAGTAAAAAATAAATATGTAGTATTAGATATATTTATAGTATCTGAATATATTTATTTATACAATAATTCCAGAAAATACTAATTTAATAAATCTGTCTTAGATAATATACTTAATCTTTCCGAAATGGTTTATTTAACTAAGAGAGCATGTTTTCAAAATTTTAAAATGTTTCCGGAATGTTTTCTGATTATTATTTTTTAATATTATTGTTTCCGGCCATTTAGAATGTTTCCGGAATTCTTGGAAATTGTATAGAATTTTTTCCGGATTATTAAAATATTTCCGGTATTCTATAACGTAAATTAAATGTCTCTGGGATTTTTCCGGAATATTATAATTATTTGAATGTTACCGGAATACTACTTAAATGCTTCTTGAATATTCCCGTAATATTAAAAAAACTTCCGGCATGTTTCCATGGTTTTATTTTTTGAATGTGTTAGGGTTTTTGAAAATGTTTTCAGAATTTTAGAATGATTCCGGATTGCTTCTGGAGTTTTTAAAGTTACATGTTTCCCTAATTTACGGAAAATATTAATATTATTGGTTCAGTAATGTTATATTTATTGTATATTATATTTATTATTTTTCTAATTTCGAAATTTAATTATTCTGAAGAATTAATTAGAAAATATTATTGTCCTAAGGATGGTATTAATTATTTTAATAATTAAATTAAAGATAATTATAAATCAGAAAATGAAAAGACAATTAGATACGATTGGCATAAACATGAACAAATACAAGTTGTTTTATGCTTAAATTTTTTAAAAATATTTTATCAAGTTTAGACATATTGTGATGTATTTTTGGATTGTAAACGTATTTTTAACAATGATATAGAATATATTAAAGATAAGGCAAAAAACAGATTAATTTATAAAGATGTAGATACATATACAGTGTTCGTTCTTTTTACTTTTCCACACTATATCGATGGAAATACCCACAGAAATCTTTGCAAAATTTTTCAGGCATTTCTAATATGAAAAATAAAATTTTACCAAGCTGGCTTATAGTAGTTATGTTACACAAACATTTCATAAAAAGTTCGAAAAAAATTTTTTGCAAAAATTTTTAATTAAAAATTTTTTAATTTTTGCTTGAAATTATATTTTCAATATTGGGTTAAAATTTTAAAAAATTTCATTCATTAGAACCTTAAGAAATTAAAAAATTTTAGGTGGCTTATAGTTTTGTTACACACTATACCTATGGATTGTGAAGATATTTATTACCGTAATTATTTTTTGAAATTACCGTTATCAGAGGCTGAACTTCAATTTCCTATTGCTTATGCTAAAGTTGTTTATAAAGTGAGTAAAATTGAATTTCATACCCCCTCTAGTTCCCCTCCTCGCTTTTGATCCTCAAAATATTAAAATGGTAAAATTTGCATCCTTCTAGTCTAGAGGGTTTTAGATTTACATAGCTTGGTTTTTTCTTAAGTAAATGTCCAGGCAGTTTTTGAGTAGGGTTTCAATTATAAACTTATCTTTACATTAACATTTTTATAGGGATATAATGTAGAATTGAGTGGTATCATGATTCCGACCGGTATCGGGCGGTATTATACCGGTTTTGATCAATCCCGATACCGAGCCTGTATCGAGATCGGTATCATCATTCGAAAACACTTTATTCTAGGTATACAGATACCGCTCAACTCTAATAGTATAAGTTACAAAAATAAAGAATGCTAAATGAGATTACTACTTATATATACATGAATTTAAAAACTTAAAGGATTATCGGTTTTTGGAGGCAGAATTAGCTACTAATTATCATCCCCAAAATTGGTACTGTTTTGCTATTGATTCGAAGGCAGATGATATTTTTTATAAAAGTATTCTGTCACTATCTAGATGCTTCCCAAATGTTATTGTTCCACAGGAAAGGTTTTCTGTGGATAGTGCTGGTTAGAAATTCAAAAAAAATTTAAGGAATTTTCAAAAATTAAATTCTTTTAAGGACACGGTATGGGAAAGGCTCATCTATCCTGTTTCAAAGAATTAATCAAAAAGGAAAGAAAATGGGAATATTTAGTAACATTACAGAATCACGACATTCAAATAAAAACTAACGAGGAGATGGTTCAAATATTTAAATGGCTAGATGGGGCTTGTGATGCCGGATATGATTTTCAGAGTGAAGCAAAAAGAGATAGATTAGACGGTCTCAATAAAAATTTTAATTGGACGTTTGAATCCCTAAAAATTTTCAAGGATGGTAATAAAAAAGATTAAATCGGGTCTAATTTTAGATATACACTGTTAGCCGTATGTGACTAGGTAAACTCAGGACTAGCTAAGATCTAGTATGAACTAGCTAGACTGATACTGATTTTTAACTATCATAACACGCCTGTTTATACACCTGTCAATACCACTATATAACTTAAGGGCTGGAAAGGTCTTAACATGTACTTAATTCTTGAGTTGGGGTAGTATCTAAAATGAGGCTCGAATATTTTAAAACATTATTAATTTAATTATTAAAAAATCTTTAATTAATAGCATCACTAAACAAACGCTTTAATGAGAAGGGATTACCTCTTAAATTGTCACTGGCAAGTGGCAATATTCAAGCAAGTCTGGCACGACCTTTTGTGGAGTTTGTAGTTAATAAACTCGATTTAACCAAAATGCTTGAGCAGTTGGACAATTTGTTCAAAAAATTATTTTTTAATCGGAAAAAAATTTTCAATTTAAGGGAATATGCGGGGGATGAATTTTTTATTCAGACACTTTTGGCTTCAGACGATTTAAAAGCACCTAATGCCTTTACACATAAATGCATTGATCAAAAAATTAATGTGCCATATGTGACTAGGTAAAACAATAAATATTTATAATATCACGGTTTTTGATACATGTCAAGAGCTCCTGCTGATAAATATTATTTCAAATAAGCTTTGAGCCGTTATATTTTGTATAATAGCTTGATCACAAAAATAATTCAGTCAAAATAATGTACCGTCATGGCACTTGATACGGCTAGTGACCGTCTCTTCCAATTTTATTACGGGTCGAAGAGCAATCATGCTCATAAAGCACTAAGGTAAAGGTATCGAACATAAATCTATGTTTCAGTATCGATAATTTTTGTGCTATCGTTTCGATTCTCGTTCGCCACTTCCAATCCGGTCCCAATGAGGGCTAAAAATATTTGTTATTTTGTTCATTAAAGATACAACATTTGGGAATTTGAGTACAAAGACAAATGTTATAGTAACAATTTTCGTCATTATAGTTGTGTTTTTGGAATAGAGGTGTTGGATACCTGTCTCAACAATTAGGCGAATATTCTTCTAAAGGGAAAGGAGTGTTGGATCCTCATTTCGACATTTAATTATTTATTTTTAGAATATTATTTTCAAATATTTATTGACCCCAAAATGTGCTGTAAATGTTTGTTATCTATTTTCCCTTTTTAAATATTCAAAACATTCCCTCAAAACAAACATTTACTTTGATCTTAAAACTTCCGCTCATTTATTTTAAATAATTTACTTTCTTATCTATGTTTTACAACTTTCTCGTCTGACCTTCTTCCGCCCATTTCCTTACCCTATAAATACTTGTTTGTCATTTTACCTTTCAAGCTTGTCTTGATCACACTTGCTCCCAAAACTAAACCCAACTTATTTATTAAAATAAACTTTATTAAACTTGTATAATTATTGTCTGAGTGAGTAGATTTATTTGAGTATTTAAAAGAATTTATTTGATATTATGTAATATAGAAGAACCGGGATATAATACTGGTGCCACGAACCCGTTGCGAATTAAAACGGAGATTAAATTTGAAAAAAAAAATTTAATTTGAAATTTTTGAAGTGATTTTATTTGAGGAATTTAGAAGAAGAAAAAGAAATTTTGAGTGAGAAATTGGATTGAAAAAAAAGAAGAGAAATAAAGATTATAGTGAAAAAAGCGAATTTTAAAAAAAGATTGTATTGAAAAAGTAGAGGAAGAATTTGAAGATAAGATTAAATAAAAGAAGAGATTTTCTGAAAAAAAAAGATTAGTTTAAAAAAAAAGAGATTTGATCAGAGAAGAGTGTAAAAAGTGGAAGAGATCTGGAAAAAAAATATTATTTTTGAGTAAAATTTGAAGAAAAGAAGATAAAATGTCAGGTTCAGATTTTTCAGCTGAGTTTTTCAGTGATGAAGAAAATAAGGTTTTCACTAAGTGGATAGAGAAATTTAAGGACGTCCTATCTTTGATGACGGAGCCTACTGAAGCGCAGAAATTATTGCGTTTACGCTTTTGTTTAGCGGGTCAAGCCCGAATAGCGTTTGATGAAATGAACCCCCAACCTACGACGTTGGCGGAGGCAATTGATACTTTAAAAAGAAAATATGAAAACGGCAATAGTAAAGTAATTGCTCGTCAAATTTTATCAATTTGTAGACAAGCTCCAGGCGAATCAGTATTTGAATTCGCAAATCGTCTTTCGGATACTGTCCGAACAGCCCTCTCCGGTGAAGAGGAGGAAACAATTAAAAAACGACTTTTAGACGAATTTTTGGATAGACTTTTACCGGATTTACAATTCGAGGTTAAAGCGCAAAGGCCGCTAGAATATGATAATGCGTACGAAATAGCACTGAATTATGAACTGCTGCTTGCAGCAAGAAAATCTAACTATAATAATATTTCAGTTGCTAGTTTGGCAGAAAAAGTTGAGGTATCGACGGTCGAAAATAATAGAAGGCAAAGGATCATCTGCTTTAATTGCAAGAAAAGAGGTCACTTTGCTAGAAACTGCTTTTTCCTTAAACCTGATTTCAATCAGAGAAATTACAGACCCCAACATTTCGGGAGATATGAAGATCGCTCTTGGCATAATAATAAAAATTACAAAAGAAATAATAACTATTTTAACGAGAATAGACCTTATAGAGATGAAAATTATCAAAGAAATAATAGGTCAAATAATAGAACAAGAAATTATGAAAATTACGATAGTTCAAGTAGCCTAAGTAGCCGCTCAAGTAGTAGTGAGCGAGAAAATAATTCACCAGAACTAGGATCAAATAATTACTGTATTCGATCGCCAAATCGAAGAATGAGATTTGAGAGAAATAGAAGTCCACGAATAGGAAGTGTGAGCCCATTTATGCTTGTAGTTCTCGCATTATTCTGTTTAATTGGCTCATCTTTTAGCGCCCCTATGAGATGCTTTAATAACACACCCATTTCAACATGGAGATTAACAAACGATCTGATATGCCCTAAATTTATTCTAGAAGATAATATATTGAAAAATAAAACTCCTGCTTTTGAAAATGAATGTGCAATAACTGATGTAAATAAATGCAGAGGCTTTTTTGATAGCTATATACAGAGAGAGGAGACATTAAACCAATTTAGTATAATAGTCTTTAGCTGTATTGTTACGGTTCTATTCGTATTAAAATTTGTTTTATGCTCGATTTTATCAGGCCCAATAAATTGTCTACATATTGGAGAAGCAATATATAGTAGATTAAAGAGTTATAGAAAGAAAAATAAAAGAATGAAACGTACTAGGCAAATTAAGAACAAAATTGAATCAGATAAAAGTGAGTTAAAAGAGAATAAAATTCCACTTTCTAAAAGATGGCCCTCTAGGAATAAAATTCGAAGAGGAGATTTAAATAAAAATAAACAAAATAATATTAAAATTTGCGTTACGGAAAATACCCAGTGTGACATAAATTCCAGAATATTAACTAAAATTAACGGAATAACAACTATATGTTTACTAGACACTGGAGCACACACGTCAATTATTAGCAATTCAAATGCCAAGAAAATTGGTTTAAATGATATGTCTGCTGCAAATTTTCCAGCAGTTTACGGAATAGGCAATAAATTAGTACCTACTCTAGGTATGGCTACAGTCGAGTTAGAGATAGCCGATTGCAAAATTCAAACAACTTTTGTAATTATTAAAGATACTGAGAAAAAGAATCAATCATATAGCGCCATTATTGGTAGAGAAACATTAAGTTGTTTACCCCTTATGTTAAATTTTACAAACTGGGAGCTCATAAAAATTCCGAATGAGTATAAATTCATTAATTATAGAGAATTAGACAAAATATCAAAAGTGATAGACGATATAAGAATTAATAAATCTGCGAAAGAAAATAAATTATGTAATTATTGCAAGAAAAAAGGACATATTGCCAGTATCTGTTTTTATCGTAATCCGGATTATAATCCGAGAGGAAATCGCTTTCAAAATAAAGTTGAAAGGGAAAGCGGAGCTTTTAGAATTGCGCATAAAGACCAACATAGATTGAGAATTTCGCAGCTCCAATCCAGTCGGGAATGACTGAGATTTTAAAAAATAAAAAATCCCTTAAATAATATTTTTTTCATTTACCAGCATTTATCAAATATTCACATACTTAAAATTTTTTATTGTTATCTTTATTTTGTAATTACACCAGAATATTCAATTTATTTATTTTCTAAATTTTATTTGTAATTGTTATTATTATTTAAATGGCGAATGAGAAAATTATGGACCTACAACAAGAAGCTGATAAACAACAAACAACAACATCCCCAAAATGGAAAGAAGAATAATACAAAATTTCAAAAATTCAACCCCTCATAGCTTCATCAAAATACTACCTCCTTTTTAGGAGAGATCAAGAAAAAAATAGTTCATACAATATATGAAACGGTTAAATGAATTATAGATTTATTAAAATCCCGCAAACTTTGCGGAGGAGGAAATAATTTTAACTGATAAAAAGAGCCCCAAATGGAGATAAAATAAACATGCACAATTTGCGTATCTTTCACCTCTTCGGTCAACTCAACCGTTAGAGAGGCCAAGAATTGTCTGATAACCGTTTTCGTCATAAGACCCATGTTTGTGGAGAATGTAATTGGTGGATAATGTAAACAACAAAAGAGAATATGGACATCAATTCTCTATAGGGGAAAGGAGTGTTGGATACCTGTCTCAACAATTAGGCGAATATTCTTCTAAAGGGAAAGGAGTGTTGGATCCTCATTTCGACATTTAATTATTTATTTTTAGAATATTATTTTCAAATATTTATTGACCCCAAAATGTGCTGTAAATGTTTGTTATCTATTTTCCCTTTTTAAATATTCAAAACATTCCCTCAAAACAAACATTTACTTTGATCTTAAAACTTCCGCTCATTTATTTTAAATAATTTACTTTCTTATCTATGTTTTACAACTTTCTCGTCTGACCTTCTTCCGCCCATTTCCTTACCCTATAAATACTTGTTTGTCATTTTACCTTTCAAGCTTGTCTTGATCACACTTGCTCCCAAAACTAAACCCAACTTATTTATTAAAATAAACTTTATTAAACTTGTATAATTATTGTCTGAGTGAGTAGATTTATTTGAGTATTTAAAAGAATTTATTTGATATTATGTAATATAGAAGAACCGGGATATAATAAGAGGATTTGGTAAATTTTCAAAATATAATTTTTTTGAAATTTAAAACGAATATTTTTATAATTTAGTGGCATAATTTTTACAATACGAAATATTTATTTGTCAATAAAATGATGCCAGAATTCGATTTTGGAGCCATTCTTTGTTGGCATGAAGAAATGAGGAGGAGGACTTTAATTAATAAAGGATTAGACAGATTAAATGCTTCATTATACCAAAATTGGCCACAGACCCGATTCCATAAAGAATGGGTAAGAACTAATGGAAATGTTGATTTGGATAATTTTAATTGTACTAATTAATAATTTAAATTAAAAAAAATATTTTTCCCCATCTAATTTATATTTTTTTAATTCTCTTAATTAATTACCTATTAAATTCTGTCCTATTTACTTAAAAAATATTTAAACTTTTCTTGTTTTCAATAAACTTTAATTCAATCAAATAATTAAATTGAACTGGTAGATTGATTATTATTAAACTTTTTTAAACTATTTTGTTTTCGTTTTCGTCTTAATTTTTTTCAAATTAAATATATTAGTAAGTAGAATTGAAAATATTAATTTATTATTTTTAAATTAAATAAATTATTTAATAAATGATCATTAAGACTTGAAAATTTCCTCGTTATTAATTATTATTATTAGTTAATAAAATTAATTATTTATGAAAAATACATAATTATTAGGCGTTCGGAATGTAATTTTTTAAAATTTTTATTATTATCACTTTCATTATTTTGAAGAAAATTTTCAATATAAAGTGACGTTTTTTATGCTCGAGTTTTTGATTAAGGACAATGAAATTATTAGGAATATTTTTGCGGATATTAGGAATATCTTTGCAAATTTTAATATCTAAGGCTGGTCCAAGACCAATCCTTGACTCAAGACCATGAATAGACCCAAAGACCAATACCTTAAGACCGAATAAAACATTATTTATTAAATTCTGTGCATTGTGACAGGCTCCCGAACTAGTTTAAGTCCTGCTTTTAAATGTCCAAATTAGCTCAAAATCATATCCAAACCATTGTTTATTTTCAATTTAAGAAATAAAAATAATAATGAATACTTCATTAATAAATAACGAAAATAATGAAAATAATTCTTCCATAATTTCACTCTTATCTGACACAAACTCTACAAATTTTGACAATAAAACCCTCTATAATAATATTTTTTGTATTCAAAATGCTTCCTCAACAAATATATTTTTTATTTTACAATATATTATGCCTATCTTCACCGCTTTTGTAGGCGTTTCTGGAAATTTATTGACAATTTTGACAATTGTCATTTCTGGTTTACACAAGGTGGAAATTTATTGAAATTATTAAGTAAATAAATTTCTGTCGGACCTCACTCAAGATTGTTGACCCGTTGGGGCTGGAAATTTTAGTATATTATTATAAGGTGTATCTTAAATTGGAAGTACAGTTTGCACAGTTCCCCCAACCAATGCTCAAATAAATCTTAATAGACATAACTTAAATAGAGGTGCACCCAATATTGGGTATTTATTATAACGAGATGTCTCTTATAATGAGATGTCTCTTAAAACGAGTCTCTCAAAATGAGATGTCTCTTAAAACGAGTCTCTTAAAATGAGATGTCTCTTAAAACGAGGTCTCTTAAAATGAGATATTTCTTAAAATGGAGGTATCATTCAGGCAGCTTCCTGCAGCCAATTTACAACCAAATTTCAATAAACATAGTCTAATTAGAGTTATCTAGTATTGGGGGCATCTAACATGTATTTTTGGGGGCAAACAGTAACAAGTATTTGGGGCATCTTAGAGTGAGGTTACATATGAAATAAAAAATAATTTTAAAGAATTATGTCAACAAATATTTAATTGTATTACTTGCTTCCGATTCTGTTCTTTTATTAAAAATTATTCTTGAACGGATTTTTAAATTTGGAATAAGATCTTATTGGATAAACTTTTTTGGACAATATTTTTGGAATGTGCCTATTTATGTTAGCAATTTAACTATATTCCTTCTGACTATTGAACGCTTCTTTGCTGTTGTATTTCCTTTGAAACATTTAAAAGTTTGTTTTTTCTGATATGATATTTAAAAATATGACGACCCTTTTATTAAGACGAATTGAATATTAATAATTTAGGATAATACTAGCCGGCTAGTTCCTTTTCTCCTTCTCCTGATCCAGCCATAAATTTACTTTTGCTTACATCGTTACGTTTATGTAAATATGAATAAAGTGTTATTCTTATCTCATCCGACTTGGCATCTGCAAGAACCTAGGCCATAGCATTGATGATCATCTTAATGCAAGAAACATTCTAATCCCTCTTTTTAAATATAATCAATGAGATCTCTAATGAGAGATCGTTCCCATATAATCAAGGAGATCACGTCTTTGTTTATGAAGGATATATAAATATACTAGTTCCTTATCTACTTCGTCTGATCCAACCAAATCCATTTAAAATATTTTTTAAAATTAATTTTAGATTTTTAAAATCCTCTCTTCATTTTTAGTACACACAATTCCACAGATGGAAAATAATTTTGGTAATACTCACATTTTCATTTTTGGCAAATTTCAACCTTTTACTGGTTATTCGAGAAAGAAATCCTGCTTACGTAAACAAAAATAATCCTTATAAATATTATTATAACAACAATTTACCTTTAGCTAAGGTAATTTTTCGGAAAATTTTTATAAAAAAATTATTTTTAGCCATTAGTTCTTGGCCCAAGAATTTTTATAAGCTTTATTTTACCATTATTTGCCGTATTCTTAGTCAATTTTGCAATTATTTTTAAACTACGTGCTCGACATATTATTCAAAGTTTGGATTTTAATTTCTAAAATGAATTTTCAAAAAATTAGCCAAATATTTCAAAAAGGGTCAACCCAAAAGACCTACACCCAGAGAATACCTACACCAAAGACCTACACCCAGTGAAAAGACCTACACCCAGAAAATATCAAGGGATTTGAAAGCAATTAAGGAATAGCGATGGATTAAGTGCGATATAATGCTACGGTTACATAAAAATCGCGCGCGACACGCGACAGTCGCTAGGCGACATGTCGCCGGCGACAGTCGCTAGTGGCGTGGTTACATAAAATCGGCGTCTTCCGCAAAAGCGACTGTCGCAAAGCGACAAACGCTGATTTTATGTAACCACGCCACTAGCGACTGTCGCGCGCGTCTTGTCGCCTAGCGATTGTCGCGTGTCGCGCGCGATTTTTATGTAACCACTAAATTATTAGTTTTTCTATTAGGTGCGGACATAATTAGTGGCCGTTTTTTAAATTGGATTTTTAGTATTAAGTTTATAGAAAATATTTTTTATTTTTATTACAAATCATTTTTTAGTTTATTTTCTAAAGGATCCCAGCATTTCAGAATTTTTGGTTAGGTATTCATGGAGTTCTGATCGAAAAAGTCAAAATTTTCGAAACCATCGAAAATCAAATTTTCTCGAGTATCTGTAATGATAATATTAAGTGTAATATGTCATTCGAAAGCTCTTCAAAAGCTCTATCAGGAGGGCACAAATTCGAATTTTTAATCCCAAAAGTCTAAATTTTTCAAAAAGGTCGAAATTCGAATTCCGGGTTCGACACAATTTACAGACTTTATACTTCGGATTTAGAATAAGCCCTGAAAGTTATATAAAAAACCGTTTAGATCATCCTGATTGGATGATTTTACGCTGAGTTATAAGAAAAAACTTTTTGGGGGAGTGTCGTGTCGTTTTCCCATCTGTGCAAAAGAGAGTACACGCGGCATTTGATTTGCCTTCCTTAAGCGCAGCCCGCGTTTTTTGGGTCACGCGTGGCCATATGTATAGAGCAGATATCCCTCTATAATACAGCAGTAGAAATAACCGGATTCCATCTAAGCCGGCCGAGCAGGACCGTTTTCTTAATGACAGACGTCTCCCTCGACCATGTTTGCTTCTGAGAGTTATACGGCCTTATTCATAAAGCCTGAACCCTATTTTTTGCTGTCTAGCATAGACAACGACCCCATTGACTAGATCATTAAAATTTTTTGCTTCTTGTGTCCATTTTTGGTAATTTATAATTTTTGGTGTAAATGCTTGTGAATTTCACTACGAGGTAGTGAAGTTTAAAAAATCATAACTTTAGGAATATAACCCGTATATGGCTAAACCTGGTATTAAAATGAAGAGCAGATTCGTATCTTTATGTTTATAAATAATGAAAAAGAAAATTTTTAAAATAACACCCCTAAAAATTCAATCTAAAAAAACGGCCACTAATTATGTCCGCACCTAATATCTTTTTCAACTATATTTTCTTTATTTATTTATCTCTAATTTTCACGGTGGTGAAAGTCAGAGTACTGTAATGTATAGGACAATTTGTTGCCACTATTTTATTGTGGCTTTTATATTGTGATTTTTTAGAATTTTTCCATTGACATTTCGATTAGAGGTAGGCGCGGGACAGGATCCCGACGAGATTTTCCGGGATCCCATCTTAAGGCCTTATAAAATTCTCTAATCTTTTTAAATTTTGAAAATCGGATCAGAATTGATCGAGAAATAGCATGTCGCAAAAAAGTGTCGCCGAAAATTCAAACATGTTTGAATCAAAAAAAGTGTCGCCGGCGACAAGTCGCCGGCGGAAATCGCATTTTATGTAACCACTAGAAAAAGCGACAAAATCGCGCGCGACATGTCGCCGGCGGAAGTCGCGGTTTATGTAACCACTCAAAAAAGCGACAAAGTCGCGCGCGACAAGACGCCGGCGGAAGTCGCTTTTTATGTAACCACTAGAAAAAAGCGACAAAATCGCGCGCGATTTTTCTCTCCTCTTTTTACATTATCTTTTCTGTCGCGTGTCGCGCGCGATTTTTATGTAACCGTAGCATAAGGGGATAGAGATTTTAGAAAACATAGCCAACCCGGAGTTATGGTTTTCTGAAATACATACCGGGTACTTATCTTAATAGAGCTGGGTATTTATCCTCATTAGTCCCTCTAAATCCCCCGATATCCGAAAATTTGTAGGTCTTTTAGGCGCAGGTCATTTGAGTCAATAGGTCTCTTGGCGAAGATAACTTCTGAATTTAGGTTTTTTGTGATGGATTAAATTTAAAAAAAAATAATTTTTATCCCTTTAAAGACAAGACAGCAATGTCAGCAGAAACACGTACCAACAACAATATCATTTTCGTTATTCCCCTAGTTTATGTCCTTTTAAATTTTCCTTATAATTTAAACATTACTGTTATCAACTTTTTTCATTTACACAAGTTTGATTGTTGGATACCCAATTTAACTTTTCTCAATATTTTTTACATTAATTATGCAACTAATTTTATGTTGTATACGATAACGAGGTTGGAAAATTTTTTTGGAGAATTATTTTTTATCAAAATGGGACATAATTAACACCCCCACATACCTAAATCACAATTTCTTCTGTCCCGTAAAGTGAGTTCCGATTTTTCGGAACTCACGTGAGTTCCGATCGAAAAAAATCACGATTTTTTCTGTCCCATAAAGTGAGTTTCGAGGGTAATTTAAAATTGTGGGGACTCGGAAAAGCGCGCGGCCTACAGCTAACAATAAGTAAAGCTCTAGAATATATTTTAAAGAAATAATTTTCTTAATTGGAAGAAGTGTTTGGTAAAAAGTGGAGAGCTATCCGAGAGCGGTCCGAGACCGGAAATTTTTCCAGCCCAAGACTTTACCACAAGAATTATGCTTGAAAATTAAAAAGGCTCAAGACAATTGTTCGGTACTACCAGACAAATTTTTAATTAACTTATCTCTACACAGTTGAATTTTAATTTTTAAAATTAACTATTGGGTCCATTCGTAATGAATAATTATTTTTAAAATTAAAAATCTTTTTATTTAACCTTATAAATTAAATTTATTATGTTTTCCGAGTTCGCCTTGTGTGGTCGTGCGGTCTTTGCGTGGCGGGAAAAAATTAAATTTTAGTTGATAATTAATTTTAAAAAATCTAAAATAAACTCGCTTGACTATACACCCACTAAAATCCCTCAAAAAAATTTTTTCTTTATTAAAAAAATTTTTTTTCTTTATTAAAAAAAATTTTTTTTCAGCTCCCAATATAGAGAAGTGTTTGTTCAATTGTGGTTTGTACATTTTGTAAATTTAGTTTACAATTGGTTTGTACATTTGTACAATTGTATAATACATCGACATTCCAACCCACATATTAATAATCAATTTAATAATATTAAAAATGAGGATATAAGTGTTGGGACGAAAAATTCAAAATTGACAATTGATTGAAATTATTTAATAAAATATGGAAAAATTATTATTCAAATCCTTAAAATAATTTTTAAATTTGAATGGATAGACAGGAAAAACAAAAAAATTATTTTTTACTCTAATTTTTCATAGCCAGAATTTTAAAAGGATTATAATTTTTATAGTACATTTAAAACCCTTATATTTTGATTACCTCATTTATATTTTATTTTAAATTTCTATTAGACAATATTAAATTTTTAATTTTTGTAGTATTTTTTTATTTTACTAAACACTCTTAAATAAATTTATTTAAAAATTAAAAATTTTTTAAAAATTTTTAAAAGCTTCATCTTCTTCCCGATGAGTAACCCTAGGGTCTACAAAATTCACAGAAAAATCTCCTTCCCGACAAGTTTGACAATAAAATTGAGACTATTGGCGGGAAGCTTCTTGGTCATTGATCTTGATTATTGGTTATTATTTTATTTCAAGATCATTGGTCTTCTTGATCACCCAACGAGGAGTCAAAATGATAAAAAAACACACAAACTGATTTTAATAAATTATTGAGTGCATACAAAAAAATATTTTTGGAACGTTTAAATTTATGGGAGGCCTATAAAACTCAAGCGGCTCTACCCTAAACTAGAGCCAAAATTGAATATATAATGAAAAGAATTTTTTAAATTTATTTTTTCAACTCAATCCAAAATTTAACATTTGTGCAAACAATTAAATAAAAAAAATTTTTTTTATTTAAAATAATACAAGCATTCTCTTATTTTTTTCATTGATTATAAGCGAAATTTAAACATTATAAGATAAAAAAATCGACACTTAAAATGGCCCTTTTTTATTTACATTTTAATTTTTTTATCTTTAAAAATTTTTTTATTAATTTTATTTCTTTTAATATTTCCTTTCCGATAATAAATTTTAAAAAAATTTTCTCGATTAATTCCCCTCCCTCGAATAATTCCCCATGCTAGAGTTGGGTTTAAACAATAATTCCCCACTCACAAATACCCTACTGAACGTTCAAATGCCAAAACTCGAATAATTCCCCTCCTTCGATTAATCCCCCCATGCCAGGGAAGGGTTGAAAAAATAATTCCCCAGGGAATTAATCGAGAAAATACGGTGGGCATCATAATATGTCGGTCTTGTTTAAGTTCGTAATATCGGGCATTGAATTTTGTCCCAGAAAATACTCGATTGCCCAAGTTCGATGAAAACGAAATCAGAAAAAAATGTCTCGATAAAATGAGGCCCGATTCGATAACGGCAACTTTATTCATAAATATAGCTACCGTATTTGCTAAAATAATTACCCAGGGTAATTATTTTTTCAACCTCTCGCTGTAAAGGGTAATTAATAGGGCGGAGGTAATTATTTGAATTATTTGAAAGAGGGACATTATTTCAGCATTTACGGTATAGCTTGTCCAAAAATTGTTTTTATTTTATCAATGTTATTAAGGTCAGATTGGATTGAAATTTTTATCGGAAACTCCAAAAAGCTTTGAGAATACCTAAAGAAATTTCAACTTTTTTAAATAATTGGAAAAATATTAAAATTTTCTGCAAAATGGATTACTGAATTTTTTTACTTTTTTTCCAATATATTTAACCGAAAAATAACTTTCCGGCATTCCACTTTTAATTATTAATAGCCCTTTAAGAATTTGGCTCGACCTTAGGGCATCCGTCCCACGAGCTTTTATTCGTCCCACGAATTTTAAGCTCCCATTAGAGCATGATAGACAATAAAGTCTGACTTTATTTAATATTGCCTTTAATTATGAGGGAATTTTGCCGAGGTGAGAAGGAGAGTGAGTGACACGTATACATACAAAGGTTGAATGAAATTGAATAATTTTGAATAAATCCTCTTATATTTCTTTACCATTTTTAATTATAATTCACTTTCATTTACACTTATTCATTAAATATTTATTGACTTTTAATTTTATTTATTAATTTTTTTTTATTTTTTTATTAATTTTTATTAATTATTAAGACATTTTTTAAAATAAATTTTCTAAATAAATTTTTAAATAATTTTCAAAAATAGCAAAAATGTTTAAAAATATATTTTAACTCATTATTCATCTAAAAATGATTAATAAATATTTTTAAAGAAACATTCAAGCATTGAAAAAAGACATTATTTTAAATTTATACATATTTATTCAATACCTATTAAAATTAAATTAAATCTCATGGCCTTTATTCCAACAAAAATACAATATTCGTCCTTGACTTCAATTAATTATGTAGGTGTTAATTCATACAAAAAATTTTTTGTGATAATTAGATTAAAGACTTAATTAGATTAACCCTTCAGTTTTAGAAACCTCTAGATTTAGACCTACCTTTATTTAACAAACTTTGTTTATTATTTGTTTAGACCAGAGGTGGGTCGGAATTCCGATTTCCGAAAAAAATTTAATTTCCGATTTCCAAGTTCCGACTTTTGAGCCAGTTTCGATTTCCGGCTCTTCCATTTCCGACACCTCTGACTGTTCCGACCCACCTCTATTAGACTGAGGTCGAAGAATAAAAATTATATTTGAGGGTTATTAAGCCTATACCTAAAGGTTGAATTTGTTGAAAGAGCTGAGTGTGGGAAAGATGTCTTTACAATTGCTTCTACATCTCCTGATAGGTGACTACCCCAATGGAAGAGCTACCTAAGCGATATCCTCGATTTAGATGGGGGTTATCGCTGTGCGGGAGGGGGGGGGGGTAATAATTTGGGTATCGCTATTAATCAGTACCTTCAATTTTTCAGCCCGAGTTATCTAGGAATTAAAAACTTCGTTTTATTTTCACCAAAAAGTCCAAATCCTCCTTTTTAAATAATAATTTATAGTTAACTCATCATAAACGTCGTTGTGCCTATTTATTGTGCTTTGCAGTTGTAATTATTTTGGTTTATTTGTTTTTAATATCTCAGGATTTTCATATTGGAAAAGCTTTAAAGGAAGATAATTTTGATGTTATTTTTAAAGAGGAACAGGAAAAAGAAGAAGCTTTTGATCAAATCAACAAAAAAATTTGGGAGGCCTTTGAAACTGAACAAAATGCAACTTGGGTAATTTAAAAAAATTGAGGGGATTTCCAAATATACATATTAAAAATAATTATATTTTCAGAATAATTAAATATTTATGAGATAAATGTAGGTGGTTTCCCTCGAAAAAGAGCTGCCTAAGCTATGCCTTTTATGATATCTTTTATGATGCCCCCTATATCTCTCCTTCTATGATGCCCTTCTCTCCCTCTATTAATGTCTCGGGCGGACCTCTAAGGTGTTTTTCTCCCTTTATCCCAGGTTCATCCCTTAATCTTTCTCATTTATATACTCGATCGTTAAATTTGTCGTGGACAGGGATGGGAAATTATTTTGGATATCCGAACAGGACGGGAGAAAGGCTTTTTTGCTTCTACTCCCGGCCTTGTGTTTTTGAAATTGTCTCCATAGCCGAACACCGAAAATTAGAAGAGAAGCAATAAGCTGAGAGGCTCCAATCTTAACTATATTTCATTAAGTGCAAAATTTTCTGTTTTTTTTTCTCGGCCCCAAAGATGTAGATCCAAGATCCTTCCTTGATAATAAACTCGCTTTTAAATCAACACTAAAAATTAACAAAAAAAATTTTTCAGAACAGATTTAATTGTGAACGTATAGTCCATGGGGACAAAGACTATTTATATAATTTGCAAAATAAAATTATAACATACAAAGACACCCCAAATTTGTCTTTAAAATGTGAAGATATCTATGAGAGGAATCATTTTTTGAATATAACACGATCTGAGGATGAAAAAAAATTTCCGTTGGCATTTGCTCGAATAGTTAATCAAGTAGCTCTAATTTAATCGAAAAATATGTTTGATTAAATTAATTTAAAGGATTATCGGTTTTTGGAGGCAGAATTAGCTACTAATTATCACCCCCAAAATTGGTATTGTTTTGCTGTTGATTCGAAGGCGAACGACTCTTTTTATGAAAAAATTTTGGCGTTGGCCAGTTGTTTTAAAAATATAATAATTCCGAGGAGTAGATATCCTGTAGATAGTGGAGGTGAGAAAATTTTTTCAAAAAATTTTCAAAAAAATTTCAAAAAATTTCTAAAAATAAATTTTTTTCAAGGTCACGGTATGGGAAAGGCCCATCTATCCTGTTTCAAAGAATTAATTAAAAAAGAAAGAAAATGGGAATATTTAGTAACATTACAGAATCACGACATTCAAATAAAAACTAACGAGGAAATGGTTCAAATATTTAAATGGATTGGTGGGGCTTGTGATGCCGAATATAATTTTCATAGTAAAGTAGAAAGGGATAGATTAGACGGTCTCAATAAAAAATTTAATTGGACGTTTGAATCCCTAAAAATTTTTAAAGATGGTAAGAAAAGTGATTAAATCGTGCCCTATTTTTAGATACACCCTATTAGTTCCAGAGGTCTTCCAGGTTTGAGATAAGAATAAGTGTTGCCCAAATTAGAATGTATCGATGTAGACGAATTGGATTTGATTGGATAATGCGAAGGAAATCTGGAGCTATCAGAACTAGTAGGGACTAACTAGACTGACACTTGTTTCTATACTAAGGTTGGGGTTTTCGAGTCAGGCTGACTTTGAGTCATTTTTATCGGGCCTCCCGACCAATCTTTTTCGGACCAAAATTCGATGCCCGACAGGATCTTTCGGACCGGGCCCCCAACTCTATTCTATACAATCATAATCTGACTCCTTGTATTTTACGCAATACACATTTAGGGCTGAAAATGAGGGGAACTTAATTCTGGATGAGAGGTGGTGGGGGCGGAAGGTGTTGTATCTAAAAATGAGGCTCGAATATTTTTAAATCCTTATCAATTTTATTAAAATCCTTTATTAAAAGCATCACTAAACAAACGCTTTAATGAACAAGGATTACCTCTTAAATTGTCATTGGCAAGTGGCAACATTCAAGCAAGTCTGGCACGACCTTTTGTGGAGTTTGTAGTTAATAAACTTGATTTAACCAAAATGCTTGAGCAGCTGGACAATTGGTTATAAAAATTATTTTTTAATCGGAAAAAATTTTCAATTTAAGGGAATATGCGGGGGATGAATTTTTTATTCAGACACTTTTGGCTTCAGACGATTTAAAGGCACCAAATGCCTTTACACATAAATGCATTGATCAAAAAATTAGTGTTCCGTATGTGACTAGGTACTAGATAAATATCTTTTAAAAACCCCTAGACTAAGAAATAAATTGAGTTCATTACTAAGATCTTCCAGACAAACTACATATTTATCCAAATCAAATCTAAGCTTATAAAGGTCACGATTTTTGATACATATGTTCAGTATGAGCGGCTCTTGCTGACAAAGATTTCCTGATAAGCTTTGAGCCGTTATCTGCTATATAATAACTTCAGTCAATATAATGTACCGTCATGGCACTGGATACGGCCCAGTAACCGTCTCTTGAAATTTCAATACGGGTCAACGAGCCATCATGCTCATAAGGCTTTAGGATAGATCGGGCCTAGTTTAGATTCCGAACATAAATCTCGATTCTCGTACTACACTCTCAATTAAGGTTGGCGGTTCCAGGTATCCGGAACCGAAAAAACCTCGGATATCCGGAAATCTTCGGTTCCGGATCCGGAGATTTCCCAGGAACCGCCACCTGACTCCCAATCCCTTCTTTAGGAGGTGCTAAAAATATTATTTGTATGTATAATGAAAAATAAATTTTTGTTCATTAAAGATACAACATTTGGGAATTCGAGCACAAAGACAAATGTTATAGTAAAAATTTTCGTCATTATAGTTGTGTATTTGGAATAGAGGATTTGGTAAATTAAAAAAAATTTTTTTTGAAAATTTTTAAAATTTTTATAAATTTAGTGGCACAATTTCCACAATTCAAAATATTTATTTGTCAATAAAATGATGCCACAATACGATTTTGGAGCGATTATTTGTTGGCATGAAGAAATGAGGAGGAGGAATATTTTAGAAAACCGATTGAAAAAATTAAATTCAACGATATATCAAAATTGGCCTCAGGCGAGTTTTTTTTTGAAAAAAATGTTTAAAAAATAAATCTCGAAATTTTTTCAGACACGTTTTCATCAGGAATGGAGGCGAAATTCAGGCAAAGTAGACATTGACAAATTTAATTGTACATAATTCGACCCAAAAATTTTTTCTTATAAAAATACTGTATTTTCTGTATTAAATCCCCTTTTTTTGAATTTGAGGCCCTCTCTCTAATAAAGACTCCGACCTCATTTTGTGGGGGGGGGGGGGCAGTTGAAGAATCCCCAAATTTTTCTCATAAAAATACCGTATTTTCTGAATTAAATCCCCCTTTTCTCAATTAGAGGCCCTCTCTCTAATAAAGACTTCTCCCTTATTTGGTGAAGGACAGTTGAAGGAATGACCACCCATTTAAATAGAGCACCCCCTCTTTTTCCAGGGCCACTTTGGGCTATGATTAAGGGTGAGCCTCTGACTAATAAAAACTCCTCCCTTATTTGGCGGAGGACCGTTGAAGGAATCACCACCCCTTTTTTATTGAAGCACATCCCTTTTTTCAATAAAGCAGCACCCTTTGGAGTATGATTAAAAAATAGAGCCCCATGGGGGGATCTTCTATAGAAAATACTGTAATTGACTTATTGCATTAAAATTGTTTTTATATCCCCTTTTTTAATTTCCTCAGATAATTTTAAGAAAATTTATTGAATTTAATTTTTAATTTTCCCCTTTACAAAATATTCTTATTTTTATTTCCACCCTATGAGCGAGAGTTGAGGGAATCGAAAATATTCTTATGTATTTTATTCCCAAATAAAGTTGAAAAAAATATTTGTTATTTTTTCCCTTTAAAATTCCAACACTATTGCCAACTCATTTTAAAAAACGTCTATATATTTTATGAAGATGTTGACTATTTTTGTGTTTGAATTCTAAAATATTATTTGTTAATTTATCATTTTAACCATTCTATTGATTTTAAATCTGATTGATATTTCGATATAATTCTGAAAAATTTTTTTAAAAACTTCCTAGTCCTCCAGTAAATTCTGAAAAATCCCATTGTCTCCTTTTAAACTTTTCTTTTTGTAAATTTTTTATTGACGTCATATTTTTTTGTACCTCTGTAGTAGTGATGTTCGGGAGAATAAATAACTCTGGAAACGGGAGTCGGGTCGGGAAATGCCCTCGGAAGTCTTGATCGGGAGGCCAAAAACTCAGGAAATTTTCCCGAGTCGGGATAAGGATACCCGAACACTACTACTCTGTAGCAGGCATTTTCGCCTTTCGTCTTTCGCTTTTTAAAATCATTTTCGGCACACCCATGCTCTGTAGGTGTATAATTTATTGTACCGTGTAAATTATTGCATAAATATTTTTATTTATTTAGAAAATTAATTTTATGAATTCTAGTCGACTCGATTTCACAACTCGTGAATTCCCTACGTTTTGTGGGTCGTGTATCCCAGACCCCAAAATCGTGAACTTATTTTTCCTGCTAGCTAGGCTCCTGAATTAGAATCGCTCTTAATCATTTTAACCGTCTCAATTTTATAAAAAATCCATTTAATTTTACTTTAGAAATGCGACGTATGCGGATAAACAATCTCTTCATTGTCACGGCAGCGTTATTTGTCATTATAATGCTTTATTTAGTTACACCTCCAAAAGTATTATTTGAAAGATCAAGCCTTCCAATTTCACCTTTAGAAGAACTAATTCCTCTTATGCCTACTTCAATACCTGAGAAAGTCTATGTCAAAGTCAAGAATGGGGGGAAGGACAATGAAAAGGATAAAGGGAAGGAGGATAAGAAGAATAAAGGGAAGGACTATAAGAAAGTTGAAGGGAAGGACCATGACCAGAAAAAGGATAACCAAATAATAAAAGTTGTTGATCCAGTTAAAATTAAGGAAGAAAAAAAGCATCATCATCCACCTCCAATCGAGGTGAGAGAAACTACCGTAGTATTCCCACCAGCTAAATTAAAAGATGAAATTAAAGAAATTGCTAAATCTGATAAAGAATTTAAACCAGATTTGGATGAAATTAATGAAAAAATTTGGAATTCGATTAAGCATGAAATTAGACACTCAAAGGTTAGCTGTACTTAAATCTCGTTATCTCGATATATCAATCTCGGTTCACGAACACTTCTAAATCTCTCGAAAAAAATTTAAAAATTAATGAATCTCTCTACCATAGTTCAGACTACCATAGTTCAGAATTTCAAATGAAGGAAATAGGTTAAAATCAGAAGACCATTCATTACAAAATTACAAATTAAATTTTAAAAAATTTTTTAGGAACGTATAGACTGCAAAAGAATAATTAAAGGTGATGAGAGTTATATAAAACTCGAAGCAAAATCTAGATTAACATACACAGAACCAAGAAATTTATTCATGGATTGTAGATCAATTAAAGAAAGAAATTATTTTTTGGAAAAGCCTTTATCTACTGAAGAAGGGAAATATCCATTAGCTTATGCTAGAATTGTTTATAAAGTTTCAATGGTGAACTTAAATTAAATTTAATTTTAATTTAAAGGATTACCGGATTTTCGAAGCAGAATTAGCTACTAATTATCGCCCCCAAAATTGGTATTGTTTTGCTATTGATTCGAAAGCCAGGGAACTTTTTGGTAAAAGAATGCGCTCCTTGGCTAAGTGTTTCAAAAACATTATAATTCCTAATATCCGGTATCCGGTGGATAGAGACGGTCAGTTTGCTTATTTTCTGATTTACATACTCAATTGAAGCAGAAAAAATTTTAAATAAAATGAATATTTATATTAGGTATGGGCAATGCCGTAGTGTAGAATGTGAGAGTAGCCTTTGAGTTCAGCGGGTCTGGATCGGGATCCCGAGCTGGGTCGGGATTTCTTTTCCAAATACCGATCCCCACCATTCCAAAATCCCGATCACAGTTTTTTATCTATGTGAGAGACGGAAGCAATAAAAATGGAAAGCGTAAGGCAGAATCGGAAGAGCAAATAACAGACTAAAATCGGCGGGAGTCGGAAGAGATTCCATACTTTGTGAATAAAAATTAGAGGATAATTAGAGTTTCGGCTGAATCAAAATTGAGTTGATCACCGAGGGATAAAGAACTTTTCCCTTTCAAAAACCATTCATTTATGTTCCAAATTATTCTGTTTAAAATAATTAATTTTATTTTCAGGCCATTACATGGCAAATGCATTTATGTCATGTTTGGAGGAATTATCTAAAAAGAAATATAAATGGGAATATGTTTTTACCCTTCAAAATGATGATATACAGATAAAAACAAACGAGGAAATTATCCAAATATTAAAATGGCTGGGTGGGGCTAATGACGTTGAATATGAATTTAGAAATCAAGACAAGCAAAATATGATCAAAAGTTTACATAATAAATTCAACTGGACTTTTAAAGATTTAAATTTATTTAAAGATGGTTATAATTTAGAATAATATTTTAAAAAATTTTAATTTTAAAGAAAAATTAAATAATCAAGTTGATACAAAAGGAAAGCCTTTATCCTTAAAATTAAGTAAAGGATATGTGCAAACTAGTTTGGCACGCCCTTTTGTTGATTTTATTGTACAAAAAATTAATTTGGACAAAATGATTAGACAATTGAATTCTTGGTATGACAAAACGTATAATTAAATAAATATATTTTTTAAGGAATTATGGGGCTGATGAATTATTTTTCCAAACATTAACGGCATCTGACGATTTAAAGGCACCTAATGCTTTTACTCACAAATGTCTTGATAAAAAAGTTGATGTGCCTTATATTACAAGGTTCTGAATTTCTAGAATATCATAATAATATTTCTAAGTCCAATAATATCCCACCTGATCCCCGATTTTTGACTCCAACTTCAAAATCAGGATTATTTTACTAAAAAGGAATATTAAGCAACTAGACATGATCGAGAAGAGATCTCAAAAAGTCTAAATTTATCGAGATATCTCCACACAGGCTGGTCTCCGAGACTAGGTAATAAGGGACAAAATGACGTTGTTTATAGAAATAGTTTTAAAGGGCTATTTAAATGAAGGAGCTAATGAATTTTAGAGGACATTTAATTGGAATAGATACAGTAACTTAATCTTTTAGATTTTCCGCCTGGATCTATTCATCAACCCCAAAATGTTTTAGCGGCAAGTATAACCACGGTATTTGTGTTATTGGCATTGAAGACTTGGTTAATTAAAAAAAATTAAATTTTTAGTTAATTCGTTAAGGCAAAAAATTTGAGAGATAAAAATAATTTCCTTTTTGCAAATAAAATTCAAGCTGATCTTGATTTTGGGGCCATTCTTTGTTGGCATGAGGAGATGAGAAGCAGAACCTTGGTAGACAAAGGATTGAAAAGATTGAATAGTACATTCTATCAAAATTGGCCTCAGGCAATTTTTGAAACTTCTATTAATTTATTTTATAAATTCCAGACACGCTTCCACAAAGAAATGGTAAAAACAGGCAAAGTGGATATTGATAAATTTAATTGTGATATTAATAAAAACTAAGAGTATTGTTTTCTTTTTTCCATTAAAATATTTATTTCGAGGCATTATCTAAAAAATGATTTTTTACAATATTTTATTTATAAATATTGTTGCATTATATTATAAATATTAATTATAACTAGGGCCCGGATTTGTATGGACGATCAATCGTGAAATATGGACATAAAATATGGACTAAAAAAGTCAAAATATGGACCAAAATCAGATTATCTATTAAGTACATTTCAACATTCTCTGGGTAAGGCTCCTCCTATTGTCAGATAAAATTGTCTTATGTAACGAAAAAGAACGTCATATATCGCAGTCGACTATAAGCAGGAGCTCTACCATTGAGCTACCGGGGCATCGACTAATGCTTTCTTTTTCCTTTTTTCGTTTAACCCCGCCTAAGCGTTTTAAATGCTGCTAGGTGAATCATCCTTACAATGAAAATAGTTTTGAAAATGGCGAAATATGGACGAAAAATGGGAAAATATGGACGAAACTTCAAAAATGCCACGTGTCTTATTGTGTTGAATAACAATGAAATAAAGTTAACCTATTGTTAAATATTGAATAAATAAACTAATTAAAATTACAAGGAAATAAAGTTAAAAGGAGATAACCATATGTTAAAAATTTTTATTTAAATAAATAAGTAAAATTCTAAAATAAATTTCATCCAAAATATTGTTCAATGAAGACTTGTTTACACTGTTTTTTAATTGCCTTCTTAATAATGGCATCTATTGTAGCGATTATTTACATGATTTTTCCTACTTCTCCAATACAAGTGCTTACTCAAATTGTTAAAACAGAAACAAAGAATGAAAACGAATCAAAAAATTTTGAAAAAATTAATGAAAAAATTTGGAATTCAATCAAAAATGAAATTGGACATGATAAAGTTGATTATGAATAAATATTTAAAGAAAAAATTTTTTAGGAACGTATAGACTGCAAAAGAATAATTGAAGGAGACGAGAATTATGTAGAACTCGAAGCAAAATCTAGATTAACATATAAAGATCCAGAAAATTTATTAATGGATTGTAAATCAATTAGAGAAAGAAATTATTTTATGGAAAAGCCTTTATCCACTGAAGAAGGGAAATATCCATTGGCGTATGCTAGAATTGTTTATGAAGTAATTTAAAATATTTTTTAAAAATCATTAATAAATTTTTAAAAAATTATTACTAAAATTATAAAAATTATTAAAGAGTTATAGATTTTTGGAGGCAGAATTTGCCACAAATTATCAACCCCAAAATTGGTATTGTTTTGCTGTTGACTCGCAACTTGAAGATGAACATTTTTTTCAAAGAATAAAAGCATTGGCTAAATGTTTTCCTAATGTTATTGTTCCAACAAAAAGATTTCCTGTAGATAGTGATGGTAGATTTCCCATTTATGCGATTTATTAGTATATTTAATAACGCTACGCTTACATAAAAATCGCGCGCGACACGCGACAGAATAGATTTTCAGAAAAAATTTTTATTTTCTGAAAAATAATAATATTTCAGGAATTTAGAATTATTCCAGAAAATATAGCTTTCATAGATTTTATTATATAGTAAAGCTGCTGGGCCATAGATAGGGCTATAGCTTAGGAAATAAATAGCTATCTATATATGCTTTGCAATATTTCCGGAAATATATAATATAATATTTCCGGAAATATATAATATTTTCGGAAATATATAATATAATATTTCCGGAAATATATAATATAATATTTCCGGAAATATATAATATAATATTTCCGGAAATATATAATATAATATTTTCGGAAATATATAATATAATATTTTCGGAAATATATAATATAATATTTCCGGAAATATATAATATAATATTTTCGGAAATATATAATATAATATTTCCGGAAATATATAATATAATATTTTCGGAAATATATAATATAATATTTCCGGAAATATATAATATAATATTTTCGGAAATATATAATATAATATTTCCGGAAATATATAATATAATATTTTCGAAAAATATATAATATAATATTTTCGGAAATATATAATATAATATTTCCGGAAATATATAATATAATATTTTCGGAAATATATAATATAATATTTCCGGAAATATATAATATAATATTTTCGGAAATATATAATATAATATTTTCGGAAATATATAATATAATATTTCCGGAAATATATAATATAATATTTCCGGAAATATATAATATAATATTTCCGGAAATATATAATATAATATTTCCGGAAATATATAATATAATATTTTCGGAAATATATAATATAATATTTCCGGAAATATATAATATAATATTTTCGGAAATATATAATATAATATTTTCGGAAATATATAATATAATATTTCCGGAAATATATAATATAATATTTTCGGAAATATATAATATAATATTTCCGGAAATATATAATATAATATTTTCGGAAATATATAATATAATATTTCCGGAAATATATAATATAATATTTTCGGAAATATATAATATAATATTTCCGGAAATATATAATATAATATTTCCGGGAATATATAATATAATATTTCCGGAAATATATAATATAATATTTCCGGAAATATATAATATAATATTTCCGGAAATATATAATATAATATTTTCGGAAATATATAATATAATATTTCCGGAAATATATAATATAATATTTTCGGAAATATATAATATAATATTTCCGGAAATATATAATATAATATTTCCGGAAATATATAATATAATATTTTCGGAAATATATAATATAATATTTCCGGAAATATATAATATAATATTTTCGGAAATATATAATATAATATTTCCGGAAATATATAATATAATATTTCCGGAAATATATAATATAATATTTTCGGAAATATATAATATAATATTTCCGGAAATATATAATATAATATTTTCGGAAATATATAATATAATATTTCCGGAAATATATAATATAATATTTCCGGGAATATATAATATAATATATAATATAATATTTCCAAAAATATATAATATAATATTTTCGGAAATATATAATATAATATTTCCGGAAATATATAATATAATATTTTCGGAAATATATAATATAATATTTTCGGAAATATATAATATAATATTTTCGGAAATATATAATATAATATTTCCGGAAATATATAATATAATATTTTCGGAAATATATAATATAATATTTCCGGAAATATATAATATAATATTTTCGGAAATATATAATATAATATTTTCGGAAATATATAATATAATATTTTCGGAAATATATAATATAATATTTTCGGAAATATATAATATAATATTTCCGGAAATATATAATATAATATTTCCGGGAATATATTATATAATATTTCCGGAAATATATAATATAATATTTCCGGGAATATATAATATAATATTTCCAGAAATATATAATATAATATTTCCGGGAATATATAATATAATATATAATATAATATTTCCAAAAATATATAATATAATATTTTCGGAAATATATAATATAATATTTCCGGAAATATATAATATAATATTTCCGGATATATATAATATAATATTTCCGAAAAATTATTATTGTTTCCGGAATAATATAATATTTCCGGAAAATTATTAATGTTTCAGTTTCTGAATTTCATTATATTAAGCATTTTCCAAAGAATGTTCTGGGCTTATGAAACCATTAAAAATTATTAATAAATTGTTATGAATTAAGGGGTTCATATGGGAACAGCATTTATGTCATGTTTGGAGGAATTATCTAAAAAGCAATATAAATGGGAATATATTTTTACCCTTCAAAATGACGATATACAGATAAAAACAAATGAGGAAATTATTCAAATATTAAAATGGTTGGGTGGGGCTAATGATGTTGAATATGGCTTAGATCAAAAAGAGCTTATTGAAGATCTTTACAATGAATTTAATTGGACTTTTAAAGATTTAAAATTATTCCGAGATGGTTGGAATTTAGAAAATAATATTTAAAATAATTAATCTTCTAAAGAAAAATTAAATAATCAAGTTGATACAAAAGGAAAACCTTTATCTTTAAAAATATCCAAAGGATATGTACAAACTAGTTTGGCACGCAGTTTTGTCGATTTTATTGTACAAAAACTTGATTTAACTCAATTGCTTCATCAGTTAAATACCTGGTAGTTAACACTTCGTTAATTTAACTCTATAAAATTAAGCGGGGAATATGGTTGTGATGAACTATTTTTTCAATCATTATTGGCAACAGATGAGTTAAGAGCACCCAATGCTTTTACACATAAATGCGTTGATAAAAATATTTCTACACCATTTGCTAATAGGTTAGTTATATTTTTAAAAAATTTTGTTTCTTCTCTGGAACTTATTTTCGAAATAAAAAAATATGTCCCTCATCCCTACCGATAATAAATGAGATTAAAATTAATATATGTTCTTATTTAGATTTTCTATTTGGGTAGTCGATTCGGACACAAAAAAATGCCCTAGCGGATATATTCGTAATGATCTTTGCATGTTTGGCCTGGAGGATTTAGTAGTTATTTAATATTATTTTTATGTACATGGAGTGGTATAATCTGCACTAATTTTTTATAAATTGCAAACACTGTTTAATTAATATTTTTTTAAAGTCAGTCAATTTGCGAGATAATAATTTCCTTTTTGCAAATAAAATTCAAGCTGATTTCGATTTTGGGGCCATTCTTTGTTGGCATGAGGAGATGAGAAGCAGAACTTTTGTAAATAAGGGATTGAAAAAATTGAATAGTACATTCTATCAAAATTGGCCTCAGGCAATTTTTGAAACTTCTATTAATTTTTTTTATAAATTTCAGACACGCTTTCACAAAGAAATGATAAAAACAGGCAAAGTGGATATTGATAAATTTAATTGTGATATTAATAAAAACTAAGAGTATTGTTTTTTTCACTTAAAAATTTGTTTCGTGGCATTATCTGAAAAATTATTTTTTTGCAATATTTTATTTATAAATATCGTTGTATTATGTATTTTATAAATTTAATCATCATTGTTTCTTTTATTATATTCCAACACAACTGCCAACACTTTTCTAAAAATAGTTGACGTGTTTTATAGTCTGCTTCTCGAATAACAAGGAAATAAAGTTAAAATGTAGATAACCACTTGTTAAATATTTTGATTTGATTCTATTTTTATTTAAATAATAAATAAATTAAATTTCCAAATTAAATTCAATCCAAAATATTATTCAATGAAGACTTTCTTACACTGTTTTGTAAGTGTCCTCTTAATAGCGGCATCTATTGTAGCGATTATTTACATGATTTTCCCTACTTCTCCAATACAAGTGGTTCCTAAAATTGTTAAAACTGAAATAAAGGAAGAAGATGGATCCGTGAAAAATTTTAAGGTCTTTCTCTTTTAACTTTCACTTCTTTTAATTTAAACTCTCTTTAAGTCCAATTGAAATCCAAACACAAAGAAATTCCAATTAATATTTATTTAATTAAAAGGAGGCAATACAATTTAAAGTAGCGAACTCCAAATAATAAATTAGCGGGAGACTTAAGGAATAAATAACTAAAAGAATAAATTAACAAATGAACAGTTTTGGGGAGAATTGTTTTTCTTAAATAGGGGAGGGCACAAAACATAAAATCTGATTAAAAGTTATTTATTTAAATTAAAGTCAATTGAATCTGAGCATCACCACAGACCAAACAAAATTTTTAAAAGCGGAGATGTGGAAAAAATTAATGAAAGAATTTGGAATTCAATCAAAAATGAAATTCGACATGACAAAGTTGATAATAAATAAATTTTTTTAAAGAAAAATGTTTTTAGGAACGTATAGACTGCAAAAGAATAATTGAAGGAGATGAGAGTTATATAAAACTCGAAGCAAAATCTAGATTAATATATAAAGATCCAAAACATTTATTAATGGATTGTAGATCAATTAAAGAAAGAAATTATTTTTTGGAAAAGCCTTTATCCACTGAAGAAGGGAAATATCCATTGGCTTATGCTAGAATTGTTTATAAAGTAATTTTTAAAAATTTTTTAAAAATCAATAATAAATTATTGAAAATTATTACTAAAATTGATAAAAGTTATTAAAGAATTATAGATTTCTGGAAGCAGAGTTTGCCACAAATTATCAACCCCAAAATTGGTATTGTTTTGCTGTTGACAAGAAAATTGGAAATAACCAGTTTTTTAAAAGAATAAAGGGATTGGCTAAATGTTTTCCTAATGTTATTGTTCCAACAAAAAGATTTCCTGTAGATAATAATGGTAGATTTTCAATTTACTCCGACTAATTATTTTGGCGCACAGCCTAGCTAGGAGTTTAGAATGTATTCAGTAAATTTTTTAATAAAGAACTTCTCCGGAATTTTCTTGCTAATATTTAATATATTAATAGTTAATAGTTGAAAATTGAAAGTCTTAGAATAGTTGAAAATTGATAGTTAATATTAATAGTAGAATCCGGAAAATTATTAATGTTTCCGAATAATATAATATTTCCGGAAAATTATTAATGTTTCCGGAATAATATAATATTTCCGGAAAATTATTAATGTTTCCGGAATAATATAATATTTCCGGAAAATTATTAATGTTTCCGGAATAATATAATATTTCCGGAAAATTATTAATGTTTCCGGAATAATATAATATTTCCGGAAAATTATTAATGTTTCCGGAATAATATAATATTTCCGGAAAATTATTAATGTTTCCGGAATAATATAATATTTCCGGAAAATTATTAATGTTTCCGGAATAATATAATATTTCCGGAAAATTATTAATGTTTCCGGAATAATATAATATTTCCGGAAAATTATTAATGTTTCCGGAATAATATAATATTTCCGGAAAATTATTAATGTTTCCGGAATAATATAATATTTCCGGAAAATTATTAATGTTTCCGGAATAATATAATATTTCCGGAAAATTATTAATGTTTCCGGAATAATATAATATTTCCGGAAAATTATTAATGTTTCCGGAATAATATAATATTTCCGGAAAATTATTAATGTTTCCGGAATAATATAATATTTCCGGAAAATTATTAATGTTTCCGGAATAATATAATATTTCCGGAAAATTATTAATGTTTCCGGAATAATATAATATTTCCGGAAAATTATTAATGTTTCCGGAATAATATAATATTTCCGGAAAATTATTAATGTTTCCGGAATAATATAATATTTCCGGAAAATTAGAATGTTTCCGGAATAATACATATAATTCTATAAAATACACATACCTCCGGAATTTCATAATATTCTCGGATAAATTTATATGCTTCCGGACTAAATTATGTATTAAGGCGTTCATATGGGAAATGCATTTATGTCATGTTTGGAGGAATTATCTAAAAGCAAATATAAATGGGAATATGTTTTTACCCTTCAAAATGATGATATACAGATAAAAACAAATGAGGAAATTATCCGAATATTAAAATGGTTGGGTGGGGCTAACGATGTTGAATATGGTCTAGATAAAAAGGAGCTTATTCAAAAGCTTTATAAAAAATTTAATTGGACTTTTAAAGATTTAAAATTATATAGAGATGGTTGGAATTTAAAAAATAATGTTTAAAATAATTTATATTTTAAAGAAAAGCTAAATAATCAAGTTGATACAAAAGGAAAACCTTTATCTATAAAAATAACTAAAGGATATCTACAAGCTAGTTTGGCACGCGATTTTGTTGATTTTATTGTACAGAAACTTGATTTAACTCAATTGCTTCATCATTTAAATAACTGGTATTTAACACTTAGTTTAATTAAAATATATAGTAAAATTAAGCGGGGAATATGGTTGTGATGAATTTTTTTTTCAAACATTAATTGCAACAGATGAGTTAAGAGCACCCAATTCTTTTACACATAAATGCGTTGATAATCATATTTTTACACCATATGTTAATAGGTTAGTTATATGTATTTTAGACGATTTTATTTCTTCTCTGGAACTTATTTTAGAAATAAAAAAAATACAGTATGTACTCGATTAATTCCCCTGGGGAATTATTTTTTCTACCCATCAGTGGCTTGTGGAATTATTTAAGAAAGTGGAATTATTCGAGTTTTGAGATAGCAGGGGGATTTGTGGGAGTGGGATTGAGGTTTCAACTTATCCGTAGCAAGGGGAATTATTCGAGAGAGTGGAAGTAATAGAGTAATACGTTATGTTCTTTATCCCTACCGATAATAAATGAGATTAAAATTAATCTATGTAGTTCTTATTTAGATTTTCTATTTGGGATGATGAAAACCGGACATGCCATAGCGGATATATGCGTCATAATATTTGCATTTTTGGCCTGGAGGATATAGTAATTTAATAATATTTTTATGTACATGGAGCGGTATAATCTTCAATAATTTTTTATTAACATTTCGGACCCATTATAATTAATATCTTTATAAAGTCAGGCAATTTGCGAGATAATAATTTCCTTTTTGCAAATAAAATTCAAGCTGATTTTGATTTTGGGGCCGTTCTTTGTTGGCATGAAGAGATGAGAAGTAGAACTTTGGTAGATAAGGGATTGGAAAGATTGAATAGTAAATCCTATCAAAATTGGCCTCAGGCAAATTTTAAATAATTAATTAATTTATTTTATAAATTTCAGACCCGCTTCCACAAAGAAATGGTAAAAACAGGCAAAGTGGATATTGATAAATTTAATTGTGATATTATTGAAAGTTAAAATTATGGTTTCCGTGTTCACTAAAAATATTTATTTCGAGACATTATCTAAAAAAATTTTTATGTGAATATAATTTGTTTCCATAAATATTTTTTGTATTATAAATATTAATCACACTGTTTCCTTTGTTTAATTTTAAAACAACTTTTTTAAAAAAGTTTATAGTCTTGTTTTATTAGCCGCTTGTCGAATCACAAGGAAATAAAGCTAACAGGGTCATCACTTGTCAAAAATTTTTATTTGAATAAATAAACCGATTAAAATTCAAAACTAAATTCTCCCAAAATATTATCAAATGAAGACTTTTTTACACTGTTTTTTAATTGCCTTCTTAATAACGGCATCTATTGTAGCGATTATTTACATGATTTTCCCTACTTCTCCAATACAAGTTCTTCTCCCTCAAACTGTTAGAACTGAAACAATGAAGGAAAACGAATCGAAAAATAATTTAAAAAACGGAGATTTGGAAAAAATTAATGAAAAAATTTGGAATTCAATCAAAAATGAAATTGGGCATAACAAAGTTGATTATAAATAGAGATCGGACCTGACAAATATTTGACGTCGGAAAATCAAATATTTGATTAACATCAAATAATTTGAAAATTATTTGATTTTCCCAAAAATTCAATTTTTTGGTTAAAAAATGGCGCTTATGTTCCTCTCCAATAGCGTCTTAAAAATTAAAAATTTCTTCTTTGTATCTTGTGAATATAGAGATATTTGGAGGATATCGAAGGATTTTGAGAGATTTTGGGGATTAGAATAGATATCAGAGGATTGAGAGGGATATATGAGAATTAAAAGGGATATATGAGGATTTGGATGGATATCGAGATATTTTGAGAGATTTTGGGGATTAGAAGGGATATCAGGGGATTGAGAGAGATATATGTGAATTAAAAGGGATATATGAGGATTTGGATGGATATCGAGAGATTTTGAGAGATTTTGGGGATTAGAAGGGATATCAGGGGATTGAGAGAGATATATGTGAATTAAAAGGGATATATGAGGATTTGGATGGATATCGAGAGATTTTGAAAGATTTTGGGGATTAGAAGGGATATCAGGGGATTGAGAGAGATATATGTGAATTAAAAGGGATATATGAGGATTTGGATGGATATCGAGAGATTTTGAGAGATTTTGGGGATTAGAATAGATATCAGAGGATTGAGAGGGATATATGAGAATTAAAAGGGATATATGAGGATTTGGATGGATATCGAGAGATTTTGAGAGATTTTGGGGATTAGAATAGATATCAGAGGATTGAGAGGGATATATGAGAATTAAAAGGGATATATGAGGATTTGGATGGATATCGAGAGATTTTGAGAGATTTTGGGGATTAGAATAGATATCAGAGGATTGAGAGGGATATATGAGAATTAAAAGGGATATATGAGGATTTGGATGGATATCGAGATATTTTGAGAGATTTTGGGGATTAGAAGGGATATCAGGGGATTGAGAGAGATATATGTGAATTAAAAGGGATATATGAGGATTTGGATGGATATCGAGAGATTTTGAGAGATTTTGGGGATTAGAAGGGATATCAGGGGATTGAGAGATATATGTGAATTAAAAGGGATATATGAGGATTTGGATGGATATCGAGAGATTTTGAGAGATTTTGGGGATTAGAAGGGATATCAGGGGATTGAGAGAGATATATGTGAATTAAAAGGGATATATGAGGATTTGGATGGATATCGAGAGATTTTGAGAGATTTTGGGGATTAGAAGGGATATCAGGGGATTGAGAGAGATATATGTGAATTAAAAGGGATATATGAGGATTTGGATGGATATCGAGAGATTTTGAGAGATTTTGGGGATTAGAAGGGATATCAGGGGATTGAGAGAGATATATGTGAATTAAAAGGGATATATGAGGATTTAAATGGATATCAGGGATTAAAGGGGATATAGGGTAATTTGAAGGGATTTCGTTTGATTAGAGCGGATATAGAATGATTTAGAGAGATATCTTTGAGAATAATAGCTTATATGGGGATAATATCTGATGATTACTAGTGATATCTGAGGCTTTGGAGAGATATCTGTGGATTTGGAGGGATATCGGATGGGGGGATTAAGCGTGATATATGTGGATCACTATCTGAAAATAGTGATATATCGGAATAACCCAAGTTATCTCCCTTAATCTATTGATTCATTACAAATATTGATTCATAAATGTATTTAGTTATTATTATGTTAATTATTCCCTTAATAATGAAATTCATATGTAATTCCAAAATTTTGAAAAAATTTAATATTTGATCAAATATTTGATACTTTTGATCAAATTTTTTCAAATATTTTCAAATATCAAATTACTTGATTTGATATTTGATTTTACCGTTAGTCCGATCTCTAATTCTAAATAAATTTTTTAAAGAAGAAAAATTTTTAGGAACGTATAGACTGCAAAAGAATAATTAAAGGAGAAGAGGATTATATAAAACTCGAAGCAAAATCTAGATTAACATATAAAGATCCAGAAAATTTATTAATGGATTGTAGATCAATTAAAGAAAGAAATTATTTCTTGGAAAAGCCTTTATCTTCTGAAGAAGGGAAATATCCACTAGCTTATGCTAGAATTGTTTATGGAGTAATTTTTAAAAATTAAAAAAAATATTAATAAAATTAATAAAAATTATTAAAGAGTTATAGATTTCTGGAAGCAGAATTTGCCACAATTTATCAACCCCAAAATTGGTATTGTTTTGCTGTTGACAAGAAAATTGGAGATAAACAGTTTTTTAAAAGAATAAAAGCATTGGCTAATTGCTTCCCTAATATTATTGTTCCAACAAAAAGATTTCCTGTAGATAGTAATGGTAGGTAATATGTCACCGGAATTTTAGTATATTCCTGAAAAATATTGTTTCGTAAATTTTATTGTAATTCGAGAATTATATTTGTTCAGATATTCTTTTATTTCCGGAAAATTATTAATGTTTCCGGAATAATATAATTACAAAATACACATGCCTCCGGAATTACATAATATTTCCGGATTAATTTATATGCTTCCTGAATAAATTATTTATCAAGGCGTTCATATGGGAACAGCATTCATGTCATGTTTGGATGAATTATCTAAAAAGAAATATAAATGGGAATATGTTTTTACCCTTCAAAATGATGATATACAGATAAAAACAAACGAGGAAATTATCCAAATATTAAAATGTTTGGGAGGGGCTAATGATGTTCAATATCAACTAGATCAAGAAGAGCTTATTAAAAATGTTAGCAAAAAATTTAATTGGACTTTTAAAGATTTAAAATTATTTAGAGATGGTTATAATTTACAAAATAATATTTAAAATAATTTAAATTTTAAAGAAAAATTAAATAATCAAGTTGATACAAACGGAAAACCCTTATCTTTAAAAATATCCAAAGGACTTGTACAAGCTAGTTTGGCACGTCCTTTTGTTGATTTTATTGTACAAAAACTTGATTTGACTCAATTGCTTTATCATATAAATAACTGGTATTTAACACTTGATTTAATTAAAATAATAAAACTAAGCGGGGAATATGCTTGTGATGAACTATTTTTTCAAACACTAGTGGCAACAGATGTGTTAAGAGCACCCAATGCTTTTACACATAAATGCCTTGATAAGAATATTTATACACCATATGCTAGTAGGTTAGTATATTTTAAAAATATTTTATTTCTTCTCTGGAACTTATTTTTAAAGTAGATTAGTTGCCGATAAAAACAGAGTAAAATTAATATACCTACTTAAATGCTGAAATAATTACCCTCTCTCAAATAATTATCCTCTCCAATAATAACCCACTAGTTTACCCCCTTCTTTACTTCCTGCCTTAAAAGTATTCAAAAATCATTATTAATTTAATTTTTGAGCATTTTAAGACTTAATAACAAAAAAAATTACTCAATTTCTCCTCAGTTAGATAGAGATATATCCCAAATCCAGCACACCCTCCCTAATAATTACCCCCTTCAGCGAGAGATCGAGACAATAATTATCCAGGGTAATCATTTCAGCAGTTCTAATTTAGATTTTCTATTTGGGTAGAAGATTCAAACACAATATGCCCTAGCGGATATAACCGTCATAGTCTTTGCATTTTTGGCCTGGAGGATTTAGTAATTTATTATTATTTTTATGCAATGGTAGCGGTATAATCTGCAATAATTTTTTATATAATATTTCGGACCCATTATAATTAATATTTTTATAAAGCCAGTCAATTTGCGAGATAATAACTGCCTTTTTGCAAACAAAATTAAAGCTGATTTTGATTTCGGGGCCATTCTTTGTTGGCATGAAGAGATGAGAAGTAGAACTTTGGTAGATAAAGGATTGAAAAGATTGAATAGTACATTCTATCAAAATTGGCCTCAGGCAATTTTTAAACTAATTAATTAATTTATTTTATAAATTTCAGACTCGCTTCCACAAAGAAATGGTTAAAACAGGCAAAGTGGATATTGATAAATTTAAATGTGATATTATTAAAAATTAAATTAAGTATAAATTATTTGATGATTATAATAAAAATTCTGTTATTATTAATTATTTTAAGCACTATTAGCATTCATTGCCACGCAGTTTTTAACATATTAAAATGACTTTCCGAATTTCCTTTATTTTTTACAAGTCTCCCAGAATTACTCCTTTGTGCTTCTTCAATTTGTTTTGTGTCGCCCTCTGCTACCTTATTATTTAGACATTTAAATAAAAATGTTTTTGCCAAAATTATTAGGAAACGTTTCCTCAATTGTGGATGATGACTTGAAAAAAAAATTTTTTTAATTTAAAAATTTATAAAATTTATTTACGTTATCACTGTAAGTTCAATAATAAAATCAACAAGAGAAGCTACTATAGTCCCTGCTTGTATTGCTATTCCCAATTGTTGATGATTAAACAACGAATAATACATAAAAATGCCAAAAAACAGCATAACACATCCATTGAAACAGTGACAGAAAAATACGGGAATTAATTGTTTACTTGTTCGAATATTTTCAGAAAGCTTTTAAAAAATAATTTTATAATATTTTAAGGTTTCATAATATATAAAATGATAATTCAACCTCAATTATGTAATCTTCAGTTATTATTTATATAATTATTATAATCGTTATTATAATAATCGTTATTATTTATGTAATTATGTAATCTTCAGATTTAAACGAGGTTTTGACCCTTCCCTGAGGAAGGGAATTTCATGAGGAATGAGCTAGGTCTCTCACCAAAGCCCAGTTCTCTTTTCAGCAGTTCGAATTCACCTCATGAGAGAATGGTGAGATCCTCCTTCAGAGTCCCAATTCTCCCCACTGAAAATTCATTATTTCAAAAAATCACCTGATATTTTTCACTTAGAGAATAATTATTTCCTTGTGGCAAATGATTATTATATTTGTGTTTATTATAAAAACCAATTGCTAGTATTGTCTTTTAATTAAAATAAAATTTAAAAAATTTATTTAGGCTACTTCCACAATGACATCCGTGTCGAGTGTCGAGT